CCCCAAAACCCCAAAACCCCAAAACCCCTTAAGTCAAGAATTAACACAATCAGGCAGAAATTATTTTACATGACAATCAAATAGGCATTGATGCTTTTAATTATTTTAGTTCATTTGATTATAGCTAATGATTCAGCTTTTTTATAATTTATTCTGGATATTAGAAATTTGATATTTATGGAGAATTTAGACAAACCTAATGTGGAAAAAGAACTTCCTAATCTTATTATGAAAAAGTTCAAACATAACAAATCAGCAAACAAACTTAGCCTCCCTCATTCTTGACACAAACGGTCAAGCACTAACTATCAATCACCGCCCAAGATTATAAAATTCAAGCCTGTTCAAGAAAAATTATAGAAAGTATTGCAATAAAAAAGAGAGGAAAAGATGAAGCCAAGGAAGGGTTACATTCAACATGAAGATTTGCTCTAGTTACAAAAAGTTAAAGATTATGTATACAGAGAGTATGATTTGGATAAGTTAAGGAGAAATTGTGTTGAGACTAAGCTTAAAAACTGCATGGATTTCCATGATACAAATGTAGAGTATAGTATCCAAAATATAAAAAGATGGAAAAAAGAGCAAGAATAGCTCACTGCAATAAAATCAAGTGTTCAAATTTTCCCAGAAAAAACTAAAGCACCTAAGAGCCCATAATTGCTTTAATAGTCAACAATTAAAGGCGGTTTACCTTAGATGCTAATGGGAAATGATTCAGGCTACAAAACCAAATATCTTCAATCTGGGTAATCTCAACCAAACAGTCCCAGGATAAATGAATTGTTCGACACTTCTGCAAATAATATTTTAATGGATCAGTTAATGTCCTTTCAAAGTATATCGCTTAACAATCTCTAGAATCTCAATGAATCAAATTTACCTTAAATTCAAGATTTTAGATCATTCAGTGCAATTAAAGATGATAAAAGTATGCTATCAATGAAGTGGAGCTTTCCTGTGCATCTTGAAAACTAAAACAATTATAATAAGCTAAATATAAAAAAGCAAGCAACTATTAACAATTTTAATATCAATTCCTAAGACTTTGAAAACGATTTCAATAGCCGCTAAAATACTGCTATTAAACTTAAGCCAATCAATAACTATAGAATAAAATCTGAGCAAACTTCTCCTCCTCAAATGTCTTCATTTAGCATCAGATTAAATTTAAATACTGCTTTTGGCTTAAATTCTCGCTATGAAATGTCAGAGGATAATAAGCTTATAGTGCTTGATGATAAAAAAATATATCCAATTCAACACTAAAAGATTAGGATGCCTGTGTCAAGCAGTTTAAAAAAAGCGAAAAGAAGACATATTAATCTCTCTCCTTTTGCAGAAGACAACTCTCCTGATGTCTAAAATTTTTGATCTTTTTTTGAATTGGTTTTCTGCACTTATTTATGATGAGGAATTAGTTATATGAATATGATTGTCTAATTAAGCATAATCTAGTGAGTCTTTATTAATTTCTTTACATATATAAATCAACATAGAAATATTTCCTCATGGGGTTTTGGGGTTTTGGGGTTTTGGGG